TTGAAAGTTGTGGTCTTAAAAGCTTAAGGGATAAAAGGTTTGTGGGGTCATGCCATTTGTGTGGCTATAAAAGCTTCTCATTAAGGGCAAACAGGGTAACATGAAGAGTTTAAAGTTGAATTATTTCCAAATTTAGAAATGCGTCATTTGTTTTGGAACAAACTTAAAGTAACTCATTTAATATGAAACGGAGGGAGTATTTAATATTGTAGTAAAATAATATTAAAATTATATGTTAATAAAATTTGGGTTCACGCGCAAAGCACGTATACAAAGCCTAGTTATTTATTAATATTTAGAGATTACATAAGTCAGTATGATTAAATCGATCATAAAACACAAAATTAGGAAAAAAGGAAGCCCAACGACTAACTAAAATAAGAGAATATCTCACTTTATACCCATTAATTCTAAACTATTTACCCTTTAATGCCCAGACCCAAACTATTTACTACTCCTACCTATGGGACCCAAACTATTTACCCGGTTATTCCCTAATAATATGAACGTGCGGCTTATCCCCCAGCTCAACTGCTTCTCCAACTCGTTATCGTCGCTAATCTCTGACAAAGTATAATTTTTTACAGCTCAAACACCGTTGACTTGCTAATTCCCCTTTGCTTGCTGAAGACAGGGGAAATAGGAAACTACATTTAGGTGTTTTTCCACGCCAATCAAAACCTTAATTCGATCAGTTCCTTCAAGTTGGTCTTTCTTGTTACTTCTCATACGCATTGTTAAGTTATTCCGGACCTCTGCTCGAAAAGATTTTGTGTGGTAATTATTGATATGATTAACTCGGACATTTTCGATTTTGCTAATAGAACCTGCAAAATTGTGGGTCCCTACGGGTTGAATTGAGGGACATTCTCGTTTTTGCTAATGTTGTTGAATCTTTTTTGGGTAATTGATCAAATGATTTTTAGTTACTCTAATGATTGATCTATAATATGAGGGAGTAATAAACTTTGCATTTGAGTTGAGAACTAATACCTTCTGGAAGTTCATACTGAAATTTAATAGCATTTGGAGTTGATTTGAGGTGATTGAGATCTAAATTTTCAGCTGAAAATTGAAGAAGAACACAGCTACCCAATAATATGTTGCTACGGTATACAATATGTTGTAGGATATATAGCTATACTGCAACAGTATACAATTATAGTTTACAATATACTGCAACGGTATATTATAATAATCGAAGAAGAACACAGTTACCTAACAGTATACCGCTACAGTATACAATATACTATAGGAGTATATAGTTATACTGCAACAGTATGCTATTATAGTATACAATATATTGTTATAGTATACTGTAATAATATGAAATACACTGTAACAATATGCTGTAATAGTATACAATATACTATAATAGTATACTTATTACCCGTAAATTCACTTGCTTTTTCCCTTTTAATTTGCTTTAAGCTTTTACCCAGCGTGAAGAGCAAATTGGAAGTGCAAAAAAAAAAAAAAGTTATAGTATGCTATATAATGTAACGGTATACTCTTACAATTAGATCCTTTTAGAATTTTCTGAAATTTTTATTGACAATTGATATTATTTCATTTTAATAATTGAATTAAATTTTTTTTAACTCTTTACGTACAATTGTATACCCTGTTGGTATATCTATATACTATACTGGTATCATATGTTAATTACTATTTTTTGGTTGTATTAGCTATATTTAATTGGTACACAATTTGATTTTTCTTTAGTAATAGTATAAAAAAAGAATCATAAAAAATAATGAAAACAGTAAATGAAATTAGGCTATGCTGAGAAAAAGAATATAAAAAAGAAGAAGTTAAATAAAATTAGAAAAGGAAAAAAGATAAAAATAAGAAGAAAACGAGAAAAAAGAAAAGGAGAAAAGAAAAAAAAAGAAAAAAAAGAAGAAAAGAAGCATAGAAATAAAAAAGAATTGGAGAATAAAGAAAATAAATTCCCCACAAAAACAACTATGGGTAGGAAATGTAATTAGTTTATGGGTAGAAAAACAAATGGGTAGACAAGGATAAATAATTTTATTTTTGTGGGTAACTGTGTCAAAACCCCCTAAAATAATTTAGTTCCCAAAATACTAAGGAATGCGATAACTTATATAGATATCTTAATGATATGGATAACTATTTAAGCAAATAAAAATTATTAAAGGTATCTAAGTTATTTCAAAAATATAGTTTTAATCAAATGAATTGTTACGTTCTATTCTTGACGAGCGCATGAGCGACACCATATTCTTTAAACTTTATCGAGCGAACCACTAATTATATAAATAACTCGTGAAAAGTTGTATACGTATTATAAAGGGGTATTATCACTTTTAGCGTGCTTCCAAAACTATTTATATCTGATAGCTGAAAAAGTGTATAACATTTGTATAATTTTTATATATAACATACATAATGTATGTATATACAAAAAATATACAAATTTTATATATATTTTTTGGCTATTATTTTTACAGCGACTATACAGTGTCATTTTTCCTATTATAATGATCATTCACAACCTTAGAAACATACATGGAGCCCTTCGGCTTTCAAAAAATGGAATTTACACATAAATCATTAAATGCAAATGATACTATTTTGAACATGAAACATGAACTATAATGTGCAGTTGTGCACATAGCTTCTAATGACAAGGATCACATAGGTTATAAAACTAACTAGACACGAAGACACCCACTGGTAGTGTAGCGAGGCTCACCCAAAGTAGTTGCGGAGATGACCTAACAAATGATAGTGTCGTCTAACATGCCAGTATCTACAACCATAATGCAATATACTCCCTCACACATAGAAGAGGACAAGACTAACAAATGCTTAATGCAATAAATATGCAACTTAAATCAAGAAGACATAGTCTTATCCCTCTTTGTAATAGAGCATATATCATAACTTTATCCTGGAGTACCTATAGACACTCACATAACATGAAAGATCACCATGTGTACATCATGGAGTCCATTCTTAACCAGGATCGACTAAGACATCTCTTATAAAGTATGAATGTGACATTAAAATGCATGAATCCATTCCTCTGGGATGTTATCTGATCGCCCCAACCAATAGTCATGATCATAATTCAATATTGGGCACTTGTAGCTTTAGGTGTTGGATCCTTTTGTTCAAATATCCTCCCAGTTACGTAAGGATATCACAGCCCAAGCTCATGGCACATGTTATCCACTTTAGCTTAACTGATCTCATGAATTTTTCCCTTGGTGTATGCTATTAACGATCCAAAATCTCTTCACTCTTCTACTATTTCAATCTGAGATTCGCCTAAGGCATGTACCTTCTATGGAAGCTCGCAAGTTTAGAAGGCTGCTAGTCCTTCTTCTTGACATGTTCTCATCGGCTCGCCCTCCGTCATGAATGTCACATACACCCTCATAGGGACTTAGTGTCCTAGTTGAGGTTGTCCCAGTACTGTACTAAGGAATTGTTACGATATGATACTATATTTATAATTTTTTAAGCCTGTGGCATGTATTGTCCGCTTTGGTCTAAGAAACTAACAAATTTATTCTTTAAGTTATACCATCATCAAGCCCAAAAGTAAGCATATCATGTGGACTTGTGCAATATATAAATTAAGCTCTTTATTTTTTTTCTCTCATACTGTTGTGGGATTAGCCTAAGCTTTGGATGCTAAGGCGCACGCGATAGGGAGAGAACACCGCTATCTCCTCGAGATCTAGGCATTTGGACGCCCCGAAGGATAGGAAGCGTGCACCCAGGTGCTAATACTTGGGAGTTTTGCCCTAGTTTTCTTGTTCATTGTCGTTCTGTGATCATTTACACTTACCCACATGGCCACATCCTTTTCAACTTGCTCCATAAGTGTGTAAACACGTTCCAGACACTATACCACTCTTGTGTTGGCCCGAATCCACCTGGGGTCACTTTCATTACTTCATTTACCATAATTACATATTAAAGGTTACGGGGCTTCAGATTGATATTCCATGTGTACATGCTCTGAAAGTTGTTCATGACCCATCCCGTATCACTCAAGTCGTGTTTGTATAGTTGGATGAGAAATTAGTGTGACGAATCCATTGGACCAAGTTACCGTGGAAGAGGTTGAAGCCCAGCAAAATGAGAGTGAAGTTGGGCCTGGGTCTGTTAGAAGAAGCCAACGTACAAAACAACCCAACAAGCTTTTACAAGATTATGTGTTAAGTTAAAGGGAAGGAAGGCACGTGTCAAGCAAAATAGAGGTTATCTATATCTGTTACATGTACGAGCAGTTTCAGAGTAGTGGCAAGCAAGATGTTGTAGCAGTTTCTGATTTCTCATCCCAGTTTCTTCTAGAGTCTCCTCATCCCCCTTCTGGCTATTTCTATCATATATCTTTATTGCAATCCTATTTTTAAATTCCTGTAATCTTCATTGTGAACATTCAGTTGTTATTAATCTACTGTTGGCTACTGCTATTTTAAGTTGAATATTAGTTTGTTCCATTTGGTGCTTTCATTGATTCGTGCTCCATGGGTGATTCAAAGCTCAAGAATTCTGATATTCCATCTGATTCTTCCTCTGAGGTTTCTCAGTTATCGTCTCGTGTTGATACCTTAAGCCAACTTGTCCAGGAGTTTATGTCAACTGTCGCTACTCAATCTGCGGCTATCGAGCCGGTTCGACCTCGTCCGTCTGATGTTTGTTTGTCGCCGGGTTCCAACTCTTCTACTCCACTCACTCTCAGGCACAAACCAGCAACTGTGGAACTCAGTCGTTTTAATGGTTTGAATCCAGAAGCCTGGTTGTTTCAAGCAGAGCGATATTTTGAGTTTTACAACATTCTTCCGGATCATCAACTCTCTTTGGCTTCGTTTTATTTGGATGGTGAAGCTCTTGACTGGTACCGCTGGATGTTTCGCAACAAACAACTCATTGATTGGCCTCCTTTTTCTGGGAAGATTCATATTCGTTTCAGGGATTAATCATTCAGATCACCGGAGGGTCGGCTATCACAGCTGATGCAGACCACGACTGTTCCGGACTTTCGGGCTCGCTTTGAGGCTATTGCCAATGAATCAGTTCGTTTGCCAGAGGTCATGTTAGTTGACTGCTTTATTTCGGGCCTCAAAATGGATATCCAAATAGAAGTGCCAATTCGAGGGCCCACTACATTGGAAGAGGCCATCAGATTGGCCCATTTATACGAGCAAAAATTTGATATGGCCAGGGGTGTCGTGCTTTCGCTCAGACCCAACCTTTTTTACCTAACCCCACTGGACCAACTTCAATTGCTGTCTCTAAGCCTACTGCTTCTTCATCACATTTACCAAAAATCCCTTTCAAGCGGTTGTCCACCACTGAACTCCAATCCAGGCGTGAGAAAGGATTATGTTACAATTGTGATGAAAAATACACCCCCAACCATAAATGTAAAGCACTTCCCCAGTTACTCCTCCTTGAAAATTCGTCTGATTTTGAGTTACCTGAGTCATTCTCACCGGAGGATTTCATTGCTGAAGAACTTCAGTGCTTAGAAGTTCAGGATCATTCTGCTATCTCATACCACGCCTTGGCCGGTGGTAGTTCTGCTACAACTCTTCGATTCGATGGCCATGTACGGGGTTCGCCGGTGAAGGTGCTTGTGGATGGTGGAAGCACACATAATTTTTTCCAAACCCGTGTGGCTAAGTTTCTCAATCTGCCTGTGGAAGCTATAAAGCCTTTTGCAGTAATGGTTGGCAGCGGTCAGCGCCTTCGTTGTGAGGGCGTAGCCCGTCAAACACCAATAGTGATCCACAATGGTGAACTGCTATTGGACCTCTATGTCTTGTCTATGCAAGGGGCGGATATTGCTTTGGGCGTTACGTGGTTAGGATCAGTGGGTCCAATCTTGACTGATTACTCGGCTCGTACGATGGAATTTTTTTATCAAGGCCAAAAGTTCAGCTGGCTTGGAGAACCACCAGTTGAAGCCCAACCAGTCCAGTTACAAACATTACGACGCCTATCAGAGGTTGAGGCTGTTTCCTCTTATTTTTGTTTAATGATGATCACAACTGATGACTCGGGACTTCCTTCTCTGCCACCGGATTTACAGTCCCTTTTGGAGGAATTTGAAGATGTATTTACCAAACCTTAAGGTTAACCTCCGGGCCGCGCACAAGACCATGCCATTCATCTACATCCAGGTTCCAGTCCAGTTAATGTTAAGCCGTACCTTTACCCATATTTTCAGAAGAAAACAATGGAGAAATTAGTTTCTGATATGCTTGCCGAGGGAATTATCCGTCCCAGCACCAGTCCATTCTCGTCCCCTGTTCTGCTCGTGCGGAAGAAGGATGGTACGTGGCGATTTTGTGTGGATTATCGGGCCTTAAATGCCATAACTGTGAAGGATAGGTTTCCCATTCCGACTATTGATGAATTTTTTGATGAATTACATGGTGCGACTTACTTCTCAAAGTTGGATTTATTATCCGGCTATCATCAAATCAGGGTTCGACTTGAGAATGTTGAGAAGACTGCATTTCGGACTCATGAAGGGCATTATGAGTTTCTAGTAATGCCGTTTGGTTTAACAAATGCACCGTCCACTTTCCAAGCTACAATGAATTCTGTTTTTCGCCCTTTCCTTCGTCTCTTTGTCTTGGTTCTCTTTGACGATATTTTGGTCTATAGTCGGACATGGAATGACCATTTACAACACTTGACTCAAGTTTTCCAGCGGCTCCGCGAACATAAACTAGTGGCTAAGCGTTCCAAATGCATGTTTGCGCAACCTCAAGTTGACTATCTTGGTCATGTGATTACTGAGCAAGGTTTGGCTGTGGACCCTACAAAAATTTCAGCTCTTATACAGTGGCCAACTCCTAAGGGTGTTAAGGGTGTTAGAAACTTCTTAGGCCTAGCGGGCAATACGCCACAATTGCTTGCCCCTTAACTGATTTGTTGAAGAAAGAATCATTTTCCTGGGGTGACTCTGCCCAGCAAGCCTTTGATTGTTTGAAAAAGAAGCTTAGTTGTACCCCGGTTCTAGCTTTACCAGACTTCACTCAGGAATTTCATGCGGAAACAGATGCATCAGGAGTTGGAGTTGGAGCTGTCCTTTCCCAAAAGGGCCATCCTATAGCCTATTATAGTCAGAAATTGTGTCCAAGAATGCAGCGTGCTTCAACATATCACAGGGAAATGTATGCCATTACGCAGGCGGTGAGGAAATGGCGACAATACTTGCTGGGAAGACGATTTACCATTATCACTGACCAACAGTCACTCAAAAATCTCACTGACCAACTCATTCAAACACCGGAGCAGCAAAAGTGGCTTGGGAAGTTAGTGGGGTTTGATTTTCGTATAGTTTACCGGCCGGGCAAGATGAACAAAGCAGCTGATGTATTATCTAGGCCACCTGAAGGCTCCTTACTAGCCATAATCGCTAGTAAATTTGATTGGGTAGATGCACTTCGTGAGGCTACCAAGACACACTCTGAAATGGTTACCATCAGACAAAGCATTGAATTGCAACCTGAGAATTATGCTGACTATGTATTCCGCGAAGGCCTTTTATTCTTTTAAGGCAGATTAGTTATTCCCTCTGATTCTCCTATTCGTATTCAACTTCTACAAGAAATTCATGATTCTCCAATAGGCGGGCATGCTGGTATAGCTAGAACCTTTCACCGTCAAATTTTTATTGGCACAATATGCGAAGAGATGTACGAGCTTTTGTGGTTTCCTGTCAAACCTGTCAGCAGATGAAGGTCAGTAATAGAAGTTCCGCTGGCCTCTTACAGCCTTTACCCATTGCAAATGTGGTTTTTGAAGAAATCGCAATGGATTTCATTACTTCTCTTCCTAGTTCTAAGGGAAAGGCCACAATATTGACCGTGGTGGATCGTTTGTCCAAATATGGCCATTTCATTCCGCTGTCGGCCACTTTCACGGCCTATTCTGTTGCCGTAGCTTTCGTGGCACATGTTATCAAGCTACATGGTCCTCCGAGGGTTATAGTATCTAATCGAGATCCAAGGTTTCTTCATTCCTTTTGAAAGGAAATTAATCGACTGCAAGGAACAACCTTAGCCGTAAGCACCGCTTACCACCCTCAGTCTGATGGCCAATCTGAGGCACTAAACAAATGTGTTGAGCAATATTTACGGTGCTTTATTTCTGAGAGTCCTCATTAGTGGGTGCCCATGTTACCTTGGGCGGAATACTGGTACAACACATCTTTTCATTCTTCTGCAGGTCTTACTCCCTTTCAAGTATTATATGGAAGGGAACCTCCTTCTGTATCTCGCTACATCTTGGGTACTGCTACAGATGATTTGGTTGAGAAATACATGCTTAGAAGGGATGAAGTGTTGACCGTGCTAAAAGAGAATCTGCACCGAGCCCAAATTCGTATGAAAACCTATGCTGATGCACACCGGACTGATCTGCAGCCGGAGGTTGGTGATTGGGCTTTTGTAAAGCTCAAACCTTATCGGCAGTTGTCCCTCAGACTCCGAAACTGCCACAAACTAGGCAAGAGGTATTTTGGTCCTTATCGAGTGGTTAAACGAATTGGTTCTGTGGCCTATAAACTTGATCTTCCAGCAGATGTGCGTATTCATCCTGTCTTCCACATATCTATGCTTAAGAAGTGCGTTGGGACTCCAGCTGAACAAGTAACTCCATTAATTCCAACGTCAACAGAAGAACAACTACCTCCGAACCTTGAGGACAAGGTTCTCATTGGGAGGAAAGTATTGTGACGAATCCACTGGACCAAGTTACCGTGGAAGAGGTTGAAGCCTAGCAAAATGAGAGTGAAGTTGGGCCTGGGTCTGTTAGAAGAAGCCAACGTACAAAACAACCCAACAAGCTTTTACAAGATTATGTGTTAAGTTAAAGGGAAGGAAGGCACGTGTCAAGCAAAATAGAGGTTATCTATATTTCTTCTATATTAGAAGTGCGAGTGTATCAGCTGACACAGACACGTCTCAACCCACATGCCAGCTTAAGCTTTTATATTGTTGCCCCTGTTTTTCAATATTATTACGTTCATTGCCACCAGAGAAATTTGTAAATAATGGAAATTTCTGGGGCATTTTCAAAGCTTATTTTACATCTTCCCCTGATATTAACAGCATTACACCTGCACATTTACCTCTACAGCCACCGCTTATTATTGGGGTTTCTTCTTCCTCTGCTTTTTCCAGATTTCTTTGTATCTTAAAGTGATTAATCTGCTCTGCTCTCCCAGTGTACATCCTCTTTGTTCCCACATCTCAATTGGTTAGTTTGTTGTTCTTGGATTTTATTTTATATTTTATTGTACAGGTTATTTATTCGGAAAAATATTTACAATTGCTGCGATTTATGGGTGTTGCTCTGCATTCTTCTTTTTATATGCTTTACCTAATTTTTTACTTGGAAAATCTATATGTTTTACCTAATTTTGAGCTGTTAAATTGGAGTTTAAACCGAATTTCTTCGGCTTTTTCCCATTACTAAGCCTGAAATTCAATTAATCTTTCCCTACTGTGCTTCTTCTCCAATCATTGTTTATCTACTAACAAAATCTTCATCTTTTCCATTTTCTAAACACCCAGCGCTGCTTCATTCTCCAACCGTGGTTCCTTCTTCTGAAGCTCTTTTATTTTATTAGTCAGCAGCTCCCTTATTTATTCACCGGTATGAACTCTTATTTTGGGGATATTTCCCTTTTCCACTGTTTGTCTTTCCTTTTTGCTTTATCTATTTTTAGAAGTTTCTGATTTGTATTGTCCTTTGATTTATCTAAGGTTTCTCAAAAACTCTATTTGTTTGTATTTAATTATCATTGTGTTCAATGTTTTTTCCCTTCGAAGAAGTAGTGAAACCGACCTGCCTGCCGACAGATGATATTTTGGGAATTTCCCGGTTTAAAATGTCAATTATGCCCTTCTAATATTGGATTTTGCGTCTCCGAAAAGGATTTTATGGTAATTTGCACGTAAGCCGAAAAGGTCGATTATCTTGGCATTTGGCATGTTGCTTAAATCTTTGAAGTAACAGTCTCACTGGGACCTTCATACTTTGCCTATTTCTAAACTTCCAGAAAAAATCAAGAGTTGCTGCTGAATTTACTTGGAACATCAGGAATGTGTAAAAAGACCAAGATGTGAGGCTCAAAGTTGGATATGAAGTTGTTGAAAAGGTAAATTATTTTCCTAATCTGCAAGTAGCATATTGTCCATCCATCCTGAGCTTTTCTAGCTATCATTCGTAAATGCATGGCATTTTCTTGTACCTTCATATCTCGTAAATGGTTATAATATGATATTATTTTATATAATACTTATTAAAAGAAAAAATTTATAGTTCTGATATTAGGGAGTGCATTGTCTATGTTGCTTGCACAAATGTTATTGCTGATGTTGTAGAGCTAATATAAAAAATACAAAACCTCCATTGAAGTGAGTGGAACTTAATATTCATGTGTTTATTACCCAATAAACAACAAATTTAAGTTTCTTAAAATTTTCAAACATTCTCCTACTGATAATGATAATTGCAGAAGGTAAGTATTTGAGTTTAAAAAAATTCTCACACTGCTACGTTCACGATATGGATAATTGTTCAATATTTTCTAATATGCTATTACTAAATGCTCCACCTTCAGATTGCAGTTATATTAAGCTGCCTTTGTTTAATATGCCTACTCAATTATGAGATGCTGCTACACACTCTATGGAATATACTTTTAATGGCCATGAGACAACTTAACTACCAGATAGACGAGCTTGTGAGCTCTAAGGTTTTTTATATTCGGTGGAAGGCAGGTTGAAACTCTGCCACAAGCAAGTGAAAGTTGGATAACAAAGGCTAAAGTGTCCATGTACTGAGATTTGAAAAAAGGAGCCAGTTGTAACAACCTGATTACCTATTAGCTGGTAGTCAACGACAGTGTATCAATGCTCTTCTCTTAGGGCTCAAAACAACTATGTCAATAGTGGCAAGAGAAATATCCATCACTCAGGTCCGACGCTTAACCTTCTTTGCCTTTCTAATAGAAACTTATATTCTTTCATTAATTTTACTCTATCTATTTTTTGGTTTCTTACAAGCTTATTCTTGATTTTTGATTTTCTCTGTTTTCCTCTTGTAGATCACCACTTTTCTGATAGCAATGGGAGAACGGAGAATTGAAATCGAAGAGCTTTAGTATACGTTGCAGCTGAAAATGACTATGGAAACCTTAACAAATACTAGCTCACCATCAGGAACAGTAAAGCTTCAAATTTTAGGAAGTGCATCACTGAGCTGTCACTCCGTCTATATCAAGAACAAGTATATGCGAGCTGACAATGGCAATCCCAATTTGTAGTTATTTGTAGACCTTTTTCTTTTTACTTAGCTTATTAACCAAAAATTCATGTGATTTCAGTTCGTTTTATCATGTTTGCCTCCTCCACTGACCTTCAACAACAAAAAAATTCCAAAGACAGAACTTCTTATGGTTGAAATCTTACGGCATGTGCTTAAATTTGTTCAGGTATGTTCTTCAGCTCATTTTGTCGTTGTTTTGTGGGAATTTAGGTTTAAAAAGAATAGATGTAGCAATTAGTATATTTACTTTTCCAATGTCTGTTTAATATGATAGTCGTTGCCTTTTTTTTACGTTGCTATGAATGGGTACACCTGCTAGAAGAAACAAAAGAATTCATGAATGCCTTTACAGAACAATTAGTATTTTTATGGTATATCTTTACTACCCATTCAAAGATTGATGTCCTCAAAGTTGTCTTTGTATATTTAGTGCAGCATCTTATATAATGTTCTATATTAACCAGGAGTATTTTTATCATGCAGCTTCGTGGTAGGACAACTGACATCCTAAAGCATTCCTTTCCAGTAACCAAGCCGGATACAAAACGTATTTACCACATTTGCTAACCAGTCAGACTACATTTCATTCAGGTTACTTTCATTCTTCGTAGTAATTCAATTACTTAAAATTTAATGGTGTCATACGAACATAATGAAGCTTGTAATGTGTATCTTTCGCATTACCTATTCTTAAACAAGTAGATATATATCTGACTTCTATTTCAGTAAATTGCACCAGATCATGTTCTATTTTTCCTTTTGTTTTCCGTTATATTTTATTTCTTTTTCAAAGTTCATCATTTCAGGGATGTCTCTTTTAGTTGTTTCAGTCACTAGATTCTACACTTATGTTCCAGCAGGCTTAGCATATTGAATCTTTTAGAAAATCATTAACCTTTGTTTAGTTCTGTCATGGCGGTGTACACGGATTTGCCTAAAATATCCTAACAAATAGAAAGGTCGCTTGATTGTTTCAAACCAGCAACTAGGGGTGTCCATTTGATTTATCGATTCGATTTTGACCCTTATCGATAATTATTTATCGATTATTGATTTGTACATATGCTTATCCTTATCGTTTTAATAAGGTTTCGATTTTTTCGATTTTGATTTATCGGTTTTTGGGGCTTATCGATTACACCAATAAGAAAATTTGCGGGATTCCATGGAAAGTATATCACTATAAACACGCCTAACTAATATGGACCAGAAGCTAAAATAAGACGAACACCGTTTATAACATAAAAATTGTGTCAACAAGCACATGCCTAAAGTAAGGGATCAAATGTATGCCACCAACACTCCAACGGTATTAAAAAAAATACATCATTACGGCTAATTCTATTTTCCATTAATTTGAACTTCAATCCCTTGAGTTTTAAATATGATTATTCCTGAAATGTGGTAGATGAAATAATAGGGTTAGGGACTTAGGGTAAAGGAAAGGGTATTATAGAATAAAGGCAAAAAATAAAAATAAAAAAAAACAAAAAAAAAAAAATTGAATTTTTTTTTTTTTTTTT